GAAAGAGAGAATGGGTTAAAAATTTGAGGGGATCTTTGTTGTGGTAAGAGGCACAGTCTAAATCGGTGACATGTACGTCAATAATATCTGTAGTACCTCGTTCAAGCAGGCCGCGAATGGAAAGATCGCCACGTAAGAGCTCGGGGCTGGAGGGGGATTGATAGGGGGGAGGAAGCGAGTAAGGTAGAAATTGGGGGACCGGCAGGGATAGTAGGGGCGGGAAACGATGGAAGGGTGGTTACGGATGGACGCTAGAGGAACCAAAGCAATCACATGCAATAGAACCAAGTTCATTTCGGATTTCATTATGGCGACGGATGATTAAGCCACCGAGTTTGCAATCCAGAGCATTTGGAACGCTGAAGGGACCAGTACAGCAATCACAAAGAGCTGGAAGAGCTGGGGGGTTAAGACCGAACCGGAGAAAAAGAGCATCACGCCATTATTGAGCAGAGAGGTGAGTGCGTTTGGCAATATCGTGCATGACTGCAAGCCAGGAGCCAGTGCAACGGCTGCGATTGAGGCGGGGCTGCTCAGCCGGAGTGAGGGTGGCTTGATGGGTCTCGAAAGCCGCTTGGTAGGGGTCTTGATGGCGTTTGGTGGCGCTGATACGAACTTCTGTGAGGGCTGTGCGATGGTCTTCAATTCTGAAGGGATGAAGTGGGGGCTCAAGGAAGGGGGTGGCAGGGTCGTGGAGGGGGCTAGGGGGATGGGAATTAAGGGCAAGGGGCAAGAAGGGATCGGGTAATTTCCGAAGTAATTTCGCGACTGGCATGTAGCGGAGGGGGCTTCCGTAATGGGGATGGGGAGAGAAAGGCCAGAAAACTTGTATGGGAGGGAAGCTGAGAGCTCGGGGGGGTAGTTCGCTTGAATGAAGATTCCAAAGAGCGGGGAGAAGCTCAAAATCCAGAGCATTTTCCAAGGGAAGCCAAGAGTCCGGGTGACACGACAGACACGTTGCAGCAAATTGCCATTCCATTTGGAGAGACTTTGGCAGGCAATATAAGCCGACTGGGGGTAGAACTGAGCCAACTTCACAAAGGAGATTGAATGCAGGCCGTCCAAGTTGTAATTTTGGAATAAACCCAGGAGGAAAGGGTTTCAGGTTCGCCGATATGACCACCGAGAAATCTGGCACCATTGTGACTTTGAGTTGATGAGCGCGGGTACGCGTAAATTGAGTGGTGGCTGTGTGAAAATTGCACTGTGAGTAATAATGTTGCATTTATGGCGCTGAACAAAGTAGCCGATGGTTTGCCTAGCCGAATAAGACGGTCCTAGAAGCAATTTTAAATCAGTAAATTTGCCGGCAGCATTGGATCATCGGCATATCCAGAGATCAAAAGTGTGAGGAACATCATGATGAAGCGTTTAATGAGATGAACTAAGGCTAAACCGTAGCAGTAATGGCTAAAGGATTCACCTTGCACGACTCCAACAGCGCTGAGGATAATGTGAGCTGTTCCAGCGGTGGAGTCGTGAAAAAATAACAAGGGACCAATGTTTGTAACTGTTGAAGGTAAAGCGGGCGCCTTCGGGCCAAAGATGGCGAACTGTATAAAGCATGGCAGTTCGATTCAATTCGTTGAAGGCGTTAGAAGCATCTATAATAAGGAAGCCAAAATCAGAGTCGAGACTGTCAGAGGAGCCAAGTATGTGTTTTTTCTATGGTGCCTAAGGAATCGAATCGAATCTTTGCCATCCGAATCATCATCAGGTCCAGGAGGGCTTACAGAATACTAAATGTAATATCATATGCTGTCCAACTTACTTATCCACTTTCATCCTTCCCAAAGCACCTGCACGCACTGATTGACAAGCAATGTCTGAGGCTACAGTATGAATAAACACCGACGAAAACTAAATGGAACTTCCACGTCTCGCTGAAAACACACACGCATTGTTTTCCGTACGATTCGATTCGATTCATTCCACGCTACCGCCATAGCAACGCAAAAACACACTCGTTCCCTTTCAAGCCCAACACAAGCAACCACACACACAGAGTAGAGTATTGTAACAAGTTGCCCGGCCATGATACGTACGGTATGAATCAATGCAACAACCAACAACCCAGACTCCGCAAAAGCTCGTGCCGCTGAAGGGACATACGGTACTATTCCACCGCCGGTGAATTGTTTAATCATACAAAAACTTACGAGACTTTTGTGGGCGGTTAACTAATAACAAGATTGCCAATCTCCGGCAGCAAGGACAGACCAAACAAGCTCTACCGTCGCATCCTCGCTCGATCGTCTTGGCATTGTTGAGGTTGATGAGGCAAACGCAAACGCAGGCGGCTCCAGAGCAAGTAGTAGTGAGCGCAGCCAGTGTGGCACTCCAGCCGGGGCAACGAAAAAAGATCTATTCGGTGCTATCCATGGCGAAGATGTCCATGATGATTCTTCCCCTGCTTCAGGCAGTCATAGGAATTATTGACCTGGATAATAATCATCAACCTTTGGAGAAGTTATTAGTTGTATCAAGCGGCTCAGATTGCTGCGGCGGGACCGAGTAGGGCAGTAAAGCTAATTATGTGAATACAATCTTGGAATACCGTACGTGGCTGCCACGAGCAGTGCGGGATTTGCCAAGTAACTAACTTGCTTCGGATGCCATCATCATCCCCTCCCTCATCACCATGCCCTGCATTAGTAGCTAGCGAGCCTGGGGATGGTGGCTGGGGGCTTGAATTGGATAAAGAAGTGGCGGGTACAAGATAAGTATATATTCTATTCGATCCTTATCTTGGCGTCCGACCGACCGACCAAGAAACCTATGCAGCAATGATCGGAGCAAAGGCCATGAATCGAATCATGCCGGCACGGACTGTTGTGGCAGCAAGCAAGCATTGCAACTTCACTAGCTAGAAATCAGAGAGTCGTCGAATCGAATCTGCTTTTAGAAGGACATGGTAAAAGCTCTAGCTAACGGAACTTCTTGCAAATGTGCCGGATGCGGTGAATAATTGCCCGCAGCAGTTCGCCAAGCCAAGCACGGGATTTTGGAGGAAATGACGAGAAGCGCATGAGGAATCATCGTGTTCGAGTAGTACCGATACCTACCTAATAGTAGTGGCGGAGGAGGGAGGGTGTTGAAGGTAGAGCTAGCTGGACCCTAGTAGCAAATACCAGATACCGGACCCATTGCTGGTTTTGCTTGTTGAAGGGTGCCATTAATTGGCATTATGCTAGTATGGAAAGGGTCAAGTTGCTCCCTGCTTGCAACAAGAAACTGTCGTGGACGAATCGTCAGTCCAGGAGGAAGAAAAAGGTGAATCGTCAGAAGAGGGAGGAACAAAAGGCTTACTATCGATAGGGAGTTGTACCAAGAAGTGTTGGCTGAAACTACTACCAGTAGTGAGGAACGATTGCGTCCTGACAGTTGGGAAGATTTGGCAAAAGGTTTAGGCCAATTCCCGACAGAAGAAGCTTCGGCAGGGAAACCACTGGCGAGCGTACTATGACGGAGGAGGAAGAGGGTATCCAAACGGTGGAAGATTCGGCGGAGGAGGCCGGTCCTGCACGGGAACCCTCGTTCATAGCCACTGCAGCGGACGACCAAGGTCAGGCCAGTTCCATGGCCGTCAATTGCCTGGTACTAAGCAAGCAATCTGAAGACAGCAGCAATAGCAGCAATCATGAGGTAGACCTTCTCATGAGGCAGGATAGTTGTCGAGTTCCGAAGAGGAACATAGGCTCAGCTACCGCCAGGGCAACCAAGTCATGAAATATATTGTTTTTAAACAAGAAGTTATGCACACATTACATCAATCAATCAATCGCAGAGCCAAGCCAAGCCAAGCCAACCAAACTCCTGGGGGGCAAGTTCCTTCTGTACAACTCTCTGTATCACTGTCTCGTCACTCCTAGCGACCATAGCCTCGGCCACCGCCACGACCTCCTCCCCGACCACCGTAACCTCTTCCTCCTCCTCTTCCACCACCATACGAGGATCCTCCATAACCTCCTCCACCACCACCGTACGATCCACCACCTCTGCCGTACCCACCACGGCCACCGCCGCCTCCCATGTAATTCCGTCCGCCACCGCCACGACTGGCTTGATACCCTCCTCTGCCACCGCGTCCACGGCCACCTCCACGTCCAAACGAAGGTCGCACCATGGCCAACAGTTCCGGCGGGATATTGGTTTGATCCGATTTTTGGAGGACTTCCACGAGTTTCGTGGCGCATTTCTTGTCCCCACGAGTGAAAAAGGTAAATGCTTTCCCCTTGGCACCGGCACGTCCGGTCCTTCCAATGCGATGGACATAATCTTCGACGCCATTGACGCCAATGGGCATGTCGTAGTTGACGACTGTTCCGATATCCTTGACATCCAATCCTCGACTGGCCACATCAGTGGCAATCAAGATCCGTAGGAGACCACTTTTAAAGGCATGCATGACTTTGGTGCGTTCCCATTGGGGTCGATCTCCGTGCAGGGAATCGACGGCGAATCCTTCGTCCCAAAGTCGATTGGCCAAATCATTGCAACTAAACTTTTTGGCGACAAAGACAATGACTTTTTCATGTTGGTGTGCTTGTGGACCGCCAGCACTACCATTCTTGTGTATTCTTCTTGTCAGCATCATCGCCGTCCTTGTCCTTGTTGTTACTGACGGAATCCTTTAGTTCTTGTAGAATAGCCTTGAGCTTATCATATTTGTCGTTATCTTCGCACATTTGAATGGTTTGTTGGATATCCTTGTTGGCAACGAGCGCATTGACTTCACCCACATTGATTTGAATGGGATACTTTCAAGAAATCATGTGCCAATCTTGAATTTCTCGTGCAAGTGGCAAAAAGAGCAATGGTCTGTCGTTCCGTGGGAATCTTTTTCAATAATGGAGCGAATCTGTGGCTCGAATCCCATATCGAGCATTCTGTAACATACATAATAATAATAGAAACAACCAAAAGACACAAGGTGAGCAAAATTTGATCCAGTGCAGCAAAACAACTCGTCAAAATCCCTGTATACGTGTACATACCGATCAGCTTCATCCAAGACCAAATACTTGATGTGACTGAGATCTGCTTTCCTCATTTCCAACAAATCATTGAGACGCCCGGGTGTGGCAATGACGACTTCGACACCCCGTTCCAGTGCTTGAATCTGGTGATATTTGGCAGCTCCTCCATAACAGCAGACACTGCGCATTCCAATGGGTCGTCCAAATTTTTGGCATTCTTCCATGATTTGTACCGACAATTCGCGTGTGGGTGCCAGCACGAGTAGCACGGGTTTGACGGGAGGACCACCGCGACGAGGATTCGGTGGTTTTCCCATCGCTGAGTTGCAACTGTTGATGAAACGCCGGCAACAAGAATCCACAGGTTTTTCCCGATCCCGTCTTGGCAATGCAAATCATATCGGTTTGTTGAATGGCAATGGGCCATGCTTGTGCTTGAATGGCGGACGGACGTTCAAATCCCGCTTGTTGAAAGGAACGTTGAATATTGGCATGAAACGGTGTTTGATCAAACGTAAAAAAAGGAGTGGCAATTTCCGTAGTTCCACGATGGCTCCCGTGACCTTGTACCGTAATGCTGTGTTCCTTGCGCCATTCATCAGGATTGGTACTCTTGGCTTGTTCTGCCAATGCTGCCTTTTCTTCGGCCGCGTCCATGGATCGGGTACGACGGCGTTTGGCCGATGGTTCCTCCGTCGGAGTAGTGCTAGTAGAGTTGCTGGGGTTATTAGAGGCGTCGCCATCATTTTCATCTCCCTTGGACCAACTCCTCATGCGCTGCGCTTCGACTTTGTGTTCCGACGATTCCAAGGCTTCCGCTTCACGCTTGCGGCTCTTGTGCCGACGTTTCATCTCATCGTAACTAATGCCCAGTTCTTTCGCTTCTTCCTTCAAACGAGCTTTGCGCTCTTTCTTGTCGCTGGGGCTTTCGGGCATGGTAAAATCGAAAAGGAGAGGGAAATGGAAAGGAAAAAAGATAGGACCTAAATTCTTTGGATGGCAAAGGGA